ATAAGATGAGTATCCAAAGCACTTAACAAATAAATGAATTTACATTCTTGATTTAGTTTTTCAAATTCTGGAAAGCTAATATTGTGAAAAAAAATTTCTCTATTTGATTTGAATATCTGAGTTTGAACAGTTCATAACATAGTGTTTTTCATCACCCACTTCGGATGAGTCGCACAATTTGCATATTCTTTGTTTTTGATGGATATTATTGTATCCGCCCTTTCTCAATTGGCAAGTTATGGCTAGAAATTCTTAATTTTGTAATTGCTGATCTTATTTTATAATTCAAAATTACTTTTAGATAATTTTCAAATTTGTAATTTTTCTTTACCAGTAAGTATGTCTTTAATTTGTTGCCAACATTTTGATTGTTGTCTTTATTGAGTTGCTTCATCCATTCATTATTATATGTACATGTATCTTTAAGTTTATTTTGAATAATTCTTTTTATGTTTTTAGAATTTAGATCATTAGCTTCCCAGAGTTTGTTACATATAAGTGTTTCTAACATGTGTTTTATAAAAGTTACAAATGATTTCTGTCCTTGTTCGTGTAGATCCAGTTCATTTTGTAAAGCTATCTTTGTCAGAATCAAGGACTTCCCATGTGCTATCCTTGCCCAGTAGGAGAACACATTGTTAATTACCTCCAAATGTATGGGGCATCGACCTAATTCACCCCGTGAAGCAATGTTTGAGCTTCTCCTGTGGACTCCTAATGTATTATTGCAGAATTTTAAATGTAGTTTTTCATATTCCAAATTGTCATTTTTGATTGATTTGAGTGTCCCTTTGAGTTCGAAATTGTTGATGGTATAGGCACCCCATATTTCACTCCCATATATACAAACTGGTTTTACTATGCTGTCAAATAAATAACAATTACATAGTGTGTTAATTTGGGTATTGGCATAAATATTGAATTGTTGTCTAATTGAAAAGTAGCTTTTTTGTGCTTTCAGAGTCAATGATTTAATGCAGGTTTTGATGGTACTATTTGAGTTAAAATTGATTCCTAAATATGGTAATTGATTGTCAATCTGTATTTTTTTATTATCAATATAGAAACTCTCTGAATTATCAATTTTTTTGTTCATAATCAGAATTTTTGTTTTCTTTACACTCACATTTAATTTCCAGCTTTTCAGTGTTTGCCTTTTGAAAATGGATGGTGAGTGAAAAATTGCTCTCCTATAAGCACTGAGGCGAGTTATGGGAGTGATTACAAATTTCTCGCCTAAAAGCAGTGAGGCGAGTGATTTTAGAAAATTATATGATTTGCAATAAGGGTGGACCCAGGGTGTTTTAGTTAACTATAACTGCCTATGACTATAATTATAATGAATAAATTATTATGGAAATAAAATACTACAGACATGTTGTCATTCTTTTATATTTATTTATTTTTAAATCACACAACTCACTTTGAAATTGAACCATGTGTCACAGTCAATCTCACATTTTAATCAGGATCAATGTTATTGTCAGATGACAAATGTCTAGAGACATTATGTTTTTTCACGCTATTTGTCCCATTCACCTAAATCATTAGGTCTTTTTTGGCTTGCCCTTTGATGGTTACATCGGCCTGAATTTTCTGCATATATTTGGCACATAGGTTTCCACACGATGATATCCAATATCTCCACCAGTGTTCCACTTTAGGAATGTTGCCAAATGCGCGCTAGAACCTAGACTGGCAAAGTCGGGACTTCTTTTTTGTTTTACAAAAAGAAATAATTAATTTTCATTTAGTTCTTGTAAAACAAAAAAATAGGTCCCGACTTCGCCAGTCTAGCTAGAACCTTTCGCAGGATAAATAATACCATGGCAGAGTTTGTATTTAGCATCACCGGTCCCAGTCAACTAACATATTTTTCAATGGAAAAAATTAATGAATCACAATCCAACTACAACAAATTCTCAATTTATCTGTGATATTACGGAAATTCAGAAATACTCATGAAAAACGTGCGAAAATCTGGCTCGATTCCACGCAAAATCGATCGCTAAAGCTGTATTCTCCCAACCTTGTGACGTCACATTGACTACTAGTATGTTTACCCATGCTCTAATTGGTTACAAATTAAATACTGAGCTTTTACCTGCCAATAGAATTTGGTGCTGCTACGTTTGATGTCAACGGTTGTCCTTAGTGACAACGCATCATGAACTCGGCTTGAACTCTTATACTCTAAGGGAATTAATTTTAATTTTTGGCGATAAACTAAACACATTTATTTTGTAATATTAATAAAAACAATTCTCTTTTTGGAGGATTTCATGGCCCTGAAAAGGGCCGTTTGATTTTGGTGATTCACTTGCCTTCTCAATCGTCGTCGTCATCACCCTCCCCGGATGCTTGTTTCACAGTCTCTCTATCGAGGGACTGTGCTTGTGCTAGGCGAGTGTTTTTTAGCTCGCCTAGTGCGCAAGCGATAGGCGAGCGAGCGATCGCTCGCCATAGACGGAAAGGCCTGGCTTTTACAATAGTTTTGTAATTTAAAATAGGAGTTTTGTAGTCCAAATTTGGTCTTTGATAGAATGACTATATCATCAGCATACATAAGGCATGGAATTGGTTCCTTACCCAAAATTGGGCAATCAGCTCTGCTGTATCTTTCATTAGAACACTTGGTAAATCATTCACAAATATGTTGAATAAGGTTGGTGATAGTGGACACCCTTGGCGAGTGCCTAACTTAATTATATATACAATGTAGCAAAGTAATCAACGTAACATCAAATTCATGTTAAGAAGTGTATGGCCAATCCGATGATGGCCCTGAGAACTGGACTTATAGTGGGGATTCCTAGTCGATCAGCAAGCCCAACCAACAATCATGAACTCAGAGATGGACATTTCATTTACATCTTCATTGCCAATGTCATGATGATTATCAAAATGATTAAGAGGGACATGAAGAAACGACAGTTTACAGCCGATTGTAAAGACATTATCGCAACAAACCTTTTCAGATATCTTGCGTCTTCGGCCTGCATTGTGCCAGATCAAAAATTGAACCTAGATATATACGATTACAGCGAAAAACAACGAAAACATTACAATCCTATGAATAAATTCACCGAAGACTTTCCTTCGCCGCCATTTTGTCAAACTATTTATGCGCAATGCACGATGGGAAATTTCAGTATCATCACGAAGTATCGCGGGAGGTCTGTATGACCTTTGACCTAAAGCGTGAACTTCCTGATTTGGTTCGACCTCAATATACGCGATCGGAGGACAAAAAGATTTCGTGTTTTATCGAAATACAGGTATTTTAAGAATTTGTTTACGCTTCGCATACATTAGTGGTTTTTAGTCTTTCTGTTTTAAGCGAGTGTAGCAATTTTTTTTGAAAGTTTGACTTGCATTTCAAAAGCATGTGCACCATATCATGGACGTACAATCTAGTACTAGTACTAGTACTAGTACTAGTACGTCCATGATCATATGTGGCACACTTTCCACTGATTGCAACAACAAATCAGTGAAAGATGATTTGAAAACTTGTTACCATCAATCGAATATTTCATACCTTCCCATGATTTCATATGGGCTAAGAGTCGACCATTAGAAACTTTGGCAGAGAAGCTGTTAGTTAGATATTTTTCAGGATGATGTTGTGTGATAATTTTTTTTTTAATTATCATATATTTGTTGGCATTTTTTTGTGTGCTGATTTGTTTTATTTCTTCTTCCAAAGCCACACTTGCCAGATTTTCTAATGGTCAATCAAGAAAAAATAATTAAAACTGATTACTATTTGGAGTCTGTTATCAATATTTGCATACTTTGGATGTATAATAAGAAAGTGTCAACATGCACTCAAAGATTTGATTTGACGTGAATCGTTACACTAACAAAATTACGTATAAGTGCCCATACTTTACAGATAGAAATGGGGCGGTACAAAACTATTGACATTAACCATAGAAAATGCAAAGTCTGTGATCTTAATGAAGTAGAAGACGAGAAACTCTTTCTGCTAAAATGCAAACTGCACCAAGAGGAGAGGATTAAACTGTTCACTGAACATAACTTATCCTCAGCTGGTGTAGCTGAGGAAGAAATCATGATACAAATTCTCACCTCTACCGACAACAAAGAAATCACTGACTATGCAAATTACATTTTTAACTGCTTTAACCGCAGAGATATTACACTGAAAAAACCACCAGCTGCCCCAAAATAATCACTTAATTTTACATTTTTTGTATTTTTTTACTTTTGTTCTTTTTTACCTTTTGATCAAATTTTCTAATTGTTTACTTTATTTTGTTACTTTTTTAGCTAGCTGTTGTTTATTTAAACAACATTCTTTATTGTATTATTTTCAAGATCCCAATAAGGATACGAAATCAATAAAGTTATTTACTTACTTACACTAATTCACCGGTGCATCATTGACGAAACAAAAAAATCATTCATTAATAGAGTGATCTTGAAATATATTTATTATAATTATGGAGTTTGTAATTTTGTAAAATGAAATTTCCATTTTATAAACAACATATACATTGTATGTAATGTAAATTAATGAAATCAGGAACCACAACATTTTAATTTGCATCTTAAAGCGAGAGGGTGTCACCTGCACACACATGAGAATTGAGTCCCAAGGACGATAACAACACGTGCTAAAAACACAAAGGCTCATGGGTAGACGCTTGTTTGTAAACAATGACATGCTATGGCCATCTGATACATGCACAGCCATATACAATATTTATTTTTTCCTGAAGACCTCTCTCTCAAGCAAAATGTGTGGCTTGTTATAACTGTGAAAATATATTAAATTAAATATATGAAATTAAAAAAGATACACTCCATGCCCATTTAACCATGGAGACAATATTTAAAAATGAAAAAATACTGCAGCTACACTATCCTGGTAACAAATCTGAAGGAAAAAATAATTTATGTATTTCTTCTGTCTCCAAAATTTCTAATGGTTCACCCCTAAGAACGTGTGAATTAATTAATATTTTGTATTAATACAAACTAATTAAACAATGCCTAGCTAATAAGTGTGCTTGAACGTCACAGAGGCATCGATGGCCAAAGAGGTTTTCTTTGTGCTCTTTGAAAAATACATGTGTTATTCCAATACAGTAAGTTACTTTATCAAGCATGGCCTGAACATTTTCACCATATATATTTTATATATATATATATATTTTGGGAAATGAACCTTTATTTTTTGAGCCAACAGGCAAAACTCAAAAAATTTGGCTTTCTTTGTCTCAATCTTCTGAAGGAAAGTACAGACTACTAGTATAGACAGGACTATTTTCTATTTTTTGACGAATAGAGCGAACTGGAGCTGGAAAGGTTAAAAGTGGGTGCCCTCTCAACTCTGGATGTACCTGTAGTTCAAGCCGTATAGTAGAGCTGTTTTAAACTCAGGAAAAAAACCAAGGCAGTAATAGTAGTGTTTGTAAATTTTTTCTAGAAAATCTGAACATTGGAGTTGGACACCAGAGGTCATGTAATGTTAAGCTCTGGGAATTTTTATTCCAACAAGCAATCTATCACTATGCAAACCTGTATGTAAATATACATTGTATAACAAATGACTGGTTCGAAAGCTACAACTCTGCCAACCGGACGCTGGACAGGCTACTTTGTTGACAGTCGTGACTTTGGCGACCAGCATGAACCTGGAAGTCAGTGGCCAATTGATGTGTATATAACTTTTACGCCCGATGGACGGGATTTCACAGGCGAAGGCACTGATGAGATTGGTTCATTTGAGTTCAAGTACGGAACGGTGTCAAAAGAATTTTTCTGTCAATTTATGAAAGTTTATCAGACACACAGTATTACTTACATTGGTGCCATCTGTGGTCAGAAGCTTTCTGGCATGTGGTGGTTAACAGAAGATGCATGGATTCATGGATCGTTTTCCATGTGGCCACACCAACAAAATTTATTAGCAGAACTATTTTAACCTTTTCACCACCAGTTCCCTCTTTTCATCAGAAATTCACAAAATAGTCCCGTTTATAGTCTGCACTTTCCTTCAGAAATGTTTTGAGAAAAAACTGTAAATTGACTGAAATTATGTCTGTTGACTACAAAATTAGGGTTCATTTCCAGAAATATTGAAAAATATAAGAAAAGCATGCAGAAAAATTTAAGCAAGTCTGGTGGTTAAAAGGTTAATATATATTATTTAACTCTTTCATTTCAAATTTTTCTGACAGAACAGGAAGTATTTGTATGACAAACCATATATACATACTAATTATTCATGGTATTCTATAAATATGAATCCAAGTGATGACAGATCTGTGTTAATTTTAAAACCTTTTTTGCACTTTGAAACTAATGAAAGGGAATTTGTATTTAGTGTCACAGAGATGAAATTCAAAACCACAGCAAATATAACTAAAGTGTAAATTAGCCATGAGACTAGTTTTTGCCCTCAAATTGTATTACATTCTCAGAGGAGCTCATCGTGTCCACTCTTCTAAATACTGTGAAACATAAATCAGAGTAACAGTGAACATGATGACAGGAGAGAATAGAAAACTCTTTAATTATATCAAATCACAAACTCCATAACTATAACAATGCATAATGCATAATTTTCTGTTGTGTCAATGATGTGCCAGGATATGAGCATAACTATATTACATGTAAGACTAAAAATGACTATGATGCATCATATCAGCTTAGTGATGCATCATATCAGCTTAGTGATGCATCATATCAGCTTAGTGATGCATCATATCAGCTTAGTGATGCATCATATCAGCTTAGTGATGCATCATATCAGCTTAGTCGAACATCATATCGGCTTGGAGAGCACATTACAGGGAACATCCAGGATTAAAGAATTATCTTCACATCCATCATGAAAAGAAAACCATGAATTCCACTGACACAAAAAACAATGCAAAACAATGACAAGATCGAACATAATGTTACATGCTGTAAAAACACACACTTAACTATGGAGAATTGTACTTTTAGAAATTTTGCATGAAAGAATAGTATATTTGTACTTTTAGAAATTTTGCATGAAAGAACAATATATTTAATGGGATGTGGGGTGTCAACAGCAGGTATGAACAACTTAGGTTTCCTGTTTTTCTGTACATCAGTGTAATAATCAACTGACTCTTAAAATAAAATAGTTCCTAGAGTATTTTCAAACCATATTTACATTATGGTGTACTGTACATTACAATGTTATATATACATTTTGTATTTGATACTTTTCTATTGCTCAATAAACAATTTAAGAACAAAAGAGTTTATATGTATTTATATACCAACCAATTACTTATTAGACTTATATTCACAGTTAACATATACCGGTAGTCTCATGTTACCAGTCCTGAGGGATCCCCACTAGATCTAGGGTCACTTTACCTGGGTTCACTTGTAAGATTACCGGTAATGTGATCAGGGATTGCTTACTTTCTCACTTACCTAAATACACCTGTCTGACCTGGGTTCACCTACAGTTTCAATTTTACCAGAGTTCGTTTGCAGAATTAGTCACCTACCTGATTGCCAGATAAAAACTTGAAATGCTATTAAATTCCAAGGTGTGTTTACAATGTTAACAATGGCCATGTGAGCTGTTTACATGAGTTGGCTGTGGCGAATCGTGAGAATATTGAACATAAAAAAATGTGATATAATGCAATATTTTCTTGTGATATGATGCGATATTTTTAGCTCCGTTGTGAACTTTGTCAAGCAGAGCTTATCATATGAGTGATTTTCCGAGAGGATGATAATCATATTGTATATAAAACATCATGTGTGTGTTTACATAGTGATTACATTAATTTCTAATGTGGATTGGTGGTCAATTTGAAATATTTAAAAGCAAGAACTTTAGAAACTATCCAACTAAGTGGGATTCAATGGATATTGTGGTTTGAAAACTAAGTTTAGAAAAACACTATAGAAAAGGGATGCAGTACTTTTAAAGGATGGATGCACAGTACACAATTTTGACTCGGAAATATAATTACTGATATTTTACTCAACTATTTGTTGTTTTTTGCTATGAGAAAGTAAAACAAAAATAGTTGGCTGCATCTTAATCTAATAAATAGAGACAACAATTTTTTTTTTTTAATTGTCATCCAATGTGAAATATTTTTGTAAATAAAAATGCAATAACCGGCAGATTTTGGAACAGTTTCCATGGAATGTCATATTAAAGTATTATTTCATGAAAAACAGATGGTTAATAGGTAAAACAGAAATTCTAAATAATTTGTGACAAAAAAATGCTAATTCCAAATATGGAATGATTACACGCGTAAGCATCCTCTAATAATAAAAACAAAGATGACTGCCACCAGAGTTTGACCAGACTCCACACAAAGAAGTTCGCTGATTCTGTTCTAAACATTTTGAATTTCGGCATTCCCATGGTGTATTCTTGGAAGGAAAAGATGTATAATAATAAGATTATTACGAGAATACCTCAAAGTATGCACTCGGACAGTATGCCGCGCATCGACCTCCGCTGCACGGCGGTCAATACTCCAGCCGTACTGTCTTCGTGCATACTTTGAGGTATTCTTGTAATAATCCATATTATGCATAGATCAAAATAAAAATTGATTCTAGCTATTTACATCTCATAATTGATTTTTTTAGTGATGGCGGCCGCACAGAAAGCGATGATGAAAAGAGAGTTTTACAGTGATGCCGAAACATACTGGAAGAGTGTCCCGGCAACACCAAACGGAATGTTGGGTGGATTTGCCGATTTATCAACAAAAGATATCAGTTCTTCAGAAAGGTTTCTAGAGAAAACGCTTGTGGTAAGATAATGTTCTGTATTTGACTCGCAAGGCACAAAATGGAGTATTTGGGTTTGCCCTGTCAGTATCTCAAGAATCACCGGTCCGATTCAATTAAATTTGGTCATAATTAGGTGCATGAAACCCAGTGTGTGCTAAGTATGCAGAAAATTTTAGAAACTTAGGCTGATATAATTGATAAATATGAGAAGATTTCATAAAAAACATTAATAATTCTGCTGGAAAAACAAAATGCGTGTCTGCTTTGTCAGTCAGTGATACAGTAATGCCATGATCGAGGGGTGTATGCACAGACTTCCTAATGGGGTTTTTTTTTATCACACATCAAAAGACACCATACCATACCATAAGGTTCTAAAGAAACATGCCTCTTACATGTACATCGCATGCTTTAATATCATCCTTGATGCTACAAGGACCTTTAGAAGCTTGTGTAGAATGGAAGACATAACCCTACTTTTTTTGACTGAATATTATCTCTATATTTCCACAATCATTTTAATTCAAACCAAAGTGCATTTCTTATTGTAGAATCAAAAATTGTGCCTATCCTGGAATTCACATGATTGCCACCAAATTGACTACTACATATTTAAGGAGCTGAGAATTCTAGAAGTCCTGGATATTTGAAGAATTATTAATATTTGTATTAAACTAATGAAACAAATTACACAAGACAAAAACAATAGTTGAAAAAAACATAAATGTAGCTTAGCTGGTAGCATTACTGTTTGAAACTATGTAGAGGTGACAGTAACATGAACTTTGATGTAATAATGTCATTTTATATTTCAGCAATTGACTGGTAAAAACCGAGCTCATTGTGCTCTGGATTGTGGAGCAGGCATTGGTCGAGTGACTAAGCATCTTCTATTGAGGAAATTTGATATTGTTGACATGGTGGAGTTGAATCAAAAGTTTCTTGATCAAGCACGAGACGAGTACTTGAGTGGAGACAAATCACAAAGAGTTGAAAAATTTATTTGTTGCGGACTACAGGATTTTATTCCTGACGCAAACCGATATGATGTCATCTGGGCGCAGTGGGTGCTCGGTCATCTAACAGACGAACACCTAATGAGCTTTTTCACACGCTGCAAAGCAGGACTGACTGAAAATGGCGTGATTTGCGTCAAGGAAAATATATCACAGGAAGGAATAGATTTGGACGAGGAAGATAGTAGTGTGACTCGACCGGAGAAGGTTTTCCTAAAACTGTTCCGTAAAAGCGGGTTGACTGTCATTCGAGAAGAAACGCAAGTTGGATTCCCAGCAGATATATACAAGGTGAAAATGTATGCCTTGAAGTGACCTTTGACATTTCCAAGCAACTATTATGGGATGTCACTTTTAAAAAATATGATCTCATACCTGACCACAAAGAAGTATTTGCTTTATATGATGAATGGTTTAAAGGAACACTTGCCATAACTGCACATGTGCGAGTCTTAGCTGAAATGAACATTTTAATACAGAGCAATTTGTTTTTTAGGACTGTATGTGCAGGCCTGATGAATACAAAATAATTGACAATTAAGAAAGAAAATGGATATGACTGTGAGCTACTTTCACTGCTTTTTACTTTGTTGTGTTTGAATAAACTGAGTAATGTACATGATGTACGGTATCAGAAATAAAACAGAACTGTAAGAATATGGGAATGTGTATTTCTGATGACAATGTTCCTTATCCTTTTCACCACCAGACTTTCTTGCCCAAATTTGTCGTCGCTTTCTCCTTATATTCTTCTTAATATTTCTGGAGAGGAACCCTAGTTTTGGAGCCAAGAGACAAAATTTTAGTTAATTTTCAGTTTTTACTCAAAGAATTTGGCTATTCCTGTACCAATTTTCTGAAGGACTATAAAACTATTTATGAATTTGTGATGAAAAGAGGGAACTTGTGGTGAAAAGGTTCACGACAGTGAGAAAGAAGACACTGGTGTGTCAAAGTATAATCATGGATGTACTAACACAGGATGAACCACTGACCAATTTCCTTTGATCTATCTGTTTTGCCGCTGATTATTTTGAAGTAATAAATAAACACTGATGTTTTACTTCTAATTACGCTTAAGACCGTAATCGCGTAGCCGGGTGATTCCCAAATCTGTTTACACAGTGCGTTCGGCAGTTCTCGAAGACGTTCGGCACATACGGGTCATGTGGTCATGTGCCATTTTCCCCTAAGCAAAGGTGTCGTCACTTGTAGTGGAGCTCATTACCGCTGAAAGTGAAAAAAGATTAAAAAAAAAACAGCAAATTGACAGCGTGTTTCAAACTTGCTATCTTGTGCTATCACTAAAGTCGGCAACTGTAAAACATAGGCATAATAAAAATTTGGATCTGATATTAAACTTGTTGCAAATCAAGGTAAAGTTGAAATATCATACGATAAAAGCAAAAATTTCAAAAACCACCAAGAAAGTACTGTAACTTCCCGATCGTCAACAAACTTCTGTTGATCTGATTAATGTCCGGTGTTTGAAAGGCCACCTGTCACGTGGGGTGAACTGCACATGCTTGTCGGTTGCTGTTTATGAATGTGCATTGAAATTGGTAAATGGTATGAGATATAACATTTTTCACGCGATGTACACACCCTTTTTAATGACAGCAAGACGAATCCAATTACTTTGATCTCGTTTTCATGTTTTATTTGAATGTTTAGTGTAAGACAAAGGTTTGAAGAGGATTTCAACACATTATAACACCAAAAGTAAACTTTCTTAACTTCAAGTGCTTTTTTAATTCTCTCAACTCAGTGGTTCATCCTGTGGTAGTCCATGGTATAATCATGCATACTGGTATATACAAGGCAGAATTTGATTGGTCAGAAAAACCTGTCAACAAACTTGCTGCTCTCTGATTGGTCTGACTTTTACGGTTTAATAGCCAATCAGACACAATCTTGTAAGTAGCATCATATTTCATATGTTGTGAAAATGAATAAATTTGGATTTGAACCGGGAACCATTCAGGGACCAATGTTAAATGGCTCAAAAATTGATATTTTCATGGAAATTTTTCATTTTTTGATGGGAAAAGTCCTTCTGACCATATGTTTTTATTTGCACTTTGTAAACAACAACATAAAATATAACCAGAGTATATAAATCATGGAAATCTGAATATCAATGCTTATATCACACGATCACAAGAAACATAAATTGAAAATCATATACCGGTATATGGTCCCCACCCCCAAGAAATGGAGTTTCTTATTGGTTACCTAACCTTCACACATAACAGTCATGCCGATCAGAGTTCATGTTTGATGTGTCAAATATTGCCATCAACTGTTTATTGATCATCGAGTTACAATTTGGGCATGGTTTCTCAAAAGTGGGCGTAGTTTTTTAAATACAAGAGTGGTCATTTCATCAGCATCTCGCTTACCACCCATGTCGATCACAGCATTGTTACAAACCACCATATTTGAATACTATTGGATATACTGTAAATGTATTACTGTAAATTATTATTCACCTGTTTTTATGTTTTCTATTTTCGCAAATTCCTGGTAAGTAAAATCTGCTAAAATTAAATCTACATGAACATGTAAATGTAAATAACAATAGAACTCATTGTTTCTCTGCCATGTTTGTGAACCCAGTGAAATGGCTCAAAACATCAAAATAGTGAAAATAAGTTGTTTTACCGGTACTTTAATAAAGATCGTGTTTAACACCAATTAGTTCAATGTCACAGCCTGAATACAGATCTTGTGCATTCAAAAAATTCAAAACTTTGTTTTTTTTTTTATTGCAATGCTCTTTGTAATTATTCATATTCTCTGTTTGATGTGTTTGAAGTGAACATACCTAACTCTAATCCTAGGCTGTCATACATACCATACACACTTCAAAGTAAATACAGTAGTCAGTATTAGTGCTTGTGATCATGATCATGCAAGTGTAGCATTGACCTAGAAAATTAAACACCCACACCAGCTCACTGCCAGAATATTTCCTCATACAATTTAAAATCAATGTGTTTTTATACTACAGTATTATATAACCTATGGTAATTGTCATATCCTTTTGATTTGCTCTCAAATTTTATTTTTATTCGTATAACCATAGCTCTTCCTTTAGCTGGATCGTTAATTATTGGAGGTGGCAAATTTCTTATTCAATTTATTTTTGGGTAAATGAATTATTGGTTTTGTCCATGGTGATAGAATTAAACACATCAGGGGAAACTGACAAAATGGTAATCATTGAAACGAATTACAGAAATATTTATTTCATTTTATCTTTTTTTTCAATAAGAGGAAACATTAAGGTTGCTTTCAGAATTATTGAAGGAAAATAATAAATCAGGTGCTTCAACTCATACAGATGTCCGACTAGAAATATAGTAGATCTTGCACAATTTGTAACTTCAGTATATACTCATGCTTTCACAAATCCATTCCCTTGTTTGTTTTTTTATGAATAATTATAAATTTCAATAATAGTTGAATCCAACTGCTTTTAGTGAATGGATATTTACTAACATGTGTCAGCTGATCCAACCAAATGGATGGCTTCATGTCCTGTGGAATAACCTCATATGGGGGGGGGATTTAATGATATTCCATCAACCAATAGTAACCTCAGTTTGATTTCATAAATATTTATGAAAAAAAACAAGAGAACAGGTTTATGGTCACAATTGTATATCAGTGTAGCGTTTTTTATAAGCAATAGTATAAATATAAGTTTACTTGTGCACAATTTAAGATCATGCTGTTCTGAAAGTTCTGCAAGTTATTTGTAATAAATTTACATACAAAATAAAATGTTGTTCAGAGTGTTAATGAGATACCACATATGAGGAGGAGGGACAGTGTTCATTATCGCTATCAAATGAATGCACAGCACACATGCAGCACTAGATTATGCTAGAAAGGAAAAATTAATTTATACAAGTATGCCCTCATGTGGTGTATGTTGAATTGCTTTTGTTTTTATATATGTTTTGTACATAAAATACTGCAAACAAATATTATTTTTTTAGCTCCGCTGTCAACTTTTTTTCTTTCTAAACAAATATTCACAAGATTGAAAATGAATGTTGTCATTATTAAGTTTGTAAATTGCATACGAGCAAATACAAGTAGTGAAAATAAAGAGAATGGGGGTTATATGGACCACACCAGTTTTCCCTTTCAGTAGATGCGACTCTGGTTTATTGTGATAAATCTAGTTTATCATAAATGCATTAATAATTTACTGGGTTTTATTTTTTCTGGTATATAAAATCTGCTAAAATTAAATCCATTTGAACATGTAAAAGAAAACAGAACTAATAATGGTTAAATGTCAGCGCACAAAAATGGTTTCACAATACGACCCAACCCCTGGTGCAGCAAAGACACAACAGGAAATTGTACATTGATGTAGCCATCTTAAAGCGCGTGGTCGTCGCGCAGCGCGTGTTCGAATTTCATGTAAATAAACAATGTATTTTACACGCGTTGTATACGTCGCTATGAGTCCCATATCGAATAGGACGCGGCACGACGACTGCCGCCCTTTAAAAAACATTTTACTAATTACAGTATTTGTAATCTAATGAACTGAAATTCACGTTTTATAAACAAAATGAGGGTGCAAACAGAGGAAATCATGGGCCACAATATTTCAGGTTGTGGTTTTAAAAGTCACCTAATTAGTCTTTATTTTGAAGACACTTCTTGCTCTGTCATCAACCTGATTTTTGGGATTCTATTCTGACTCGAGACCTCTACAAAGTCAGTTCTGTTAGAGGTCATACTAGAACTCAACATGGTATGTATAAAGAACTGAAATTATGAAAGGAAACTAAATGCGAGTTGACCCCCCCCCCGCATGAGGGCGGTGCTGTCGTTGAATTATTGATGGATACGCATGCAAGTCCCCATTTTCGGACTTCGATTGTACATTCCTAAATTGAATAACACTCTTGAAATAATGCGGGCATGCATTTGTGTTGATAAACATTGATTTTACCATAATACAAAGCGCTCTTCTAATGGAAATCACAAATACAATGTATAAGGTTTGACCTGGGCGTGACTTGCACTAATTACTGCCGGTGACTCCTTCGATACCTTCCAATCACCTAAAATTACCTAATTAAAGCTTGGAAACGTCTCAGTTTGTACTCGTTGATCTGCGTGACAGTCAAAGTCGCCATCTTTGTTTATATGAGATCCACATACAACCATGCTTTATTGTACGTAGATCTATGTCCATTTTCAGGATACGACTTCAATAAAGACTATTATTATTTTTATAATCTCGTGCATGCGTGGCGCGACGACTACCGCCCTTTAAATCTAAGTAAAACTATGAATGCCTGCACAGTATATTCATTACACTGGACCTATATTGAACAAGAGACGAACACCGCCTTTTAACAGAAGTAACATATTACAATTCATTAACCGGTTTAATAAATTAATATAAACTGATTCAATATTTAAATAGTAATCTGTGATTTGGGTTTCATAAACTAGTGTAGTAGTTTTCAAAATTGAGGAACTTGTGCAGATACATAGCTTTTCAACCCTAAAACTTCATATTGGAATCATAATCAGTGTGTATACTTGTCCAATATGCCTTGTCAACTTCTAAGAGTCTATTTTCGTGTCACTTTATATTACCACATGCACATGACCATAATTGGAAGTGTATTTCTGTATTTAGTAGCTCTACAGTGGTGATGGTACGGGACGGCAGTCTAAAACAATTTTGGGGGCATCGCCTTTCAAGAAACCCTTTGTGTCAGCAAAATGTGACCCTCAAAATCCAGGAAATAGCATTTCAGGGGGTTTAGATTTCATTTTTTTTAAGAGGAAGCATGCCCGCTGACCCCCTAGCAAGGTCGCGCTTTCAGCGCGAGGTTGGTGAGCAGATCTTCTCCCCATGAAAGATTTGGTGCCGCCGCCTTGCTCTGTACATACATTGTACAGTGAAAGACACTAAGTTGTACCATAGATTATGAACACACTTATAAACGATTGTAAATCATCATCAGCTTTCATTCAAATTTAAATATTCAATAGCAAGATCATGTACTCTTGGGTTAGCATGTGATAAAAGAAAATGGGAAAATAATAGTGAAGATGACATAATTTGTCCATGTTGTGAAAAAGACGAAGAAACTCTCGAACATTTTATTTTGCAATGTCCAAGTTTTAAAATAAAAAGGGACAACTTAATGTGTGAAATAAAAGAAATGTTATTGAAGATGAAAGAAACAAATTTATCTTCCAGCAACTGAAGAGTTATTATGTTTCCTTCTGGGAGATACCACTCAAGGTTATAACAAAGAAATATGTTACACCATAGACAAACCTAAGAAAGAATTTTTAGTTGATGCCATGGATGTTAGAACAACATTTTTACACTAATAAGTAGATTGTAATGTTATTTTTATTAATTTTGTTATATGATGTTTTTCTTAATTAAGAAATATATCTTTAATTTTGCAGTTCCTGTAAAAGTGAGTCCCTGCTTTAAAAGGGTAGCAACAAATAAATCAAATAAAAATAAAAAAAAAATAAAAAATAGTGATTGGCTCTATGTATATGCTCATAATGTATACATATGTTTCCAGTGACGTAGCAACTGTAAGCGTCCAATCAAGCACCTGCAGATTGGATAATGTTGAATTAGCTCATTATTATAACTCACAATGGTGTAGCAAAACATTTCCAGACTGATCAAATTAAAATCTAATGGTCATTTTGATTTATCAAAAAACAAATATTATGTTTATTATCTCTGTTTTCTGTCCTTCGCTGTATACTGGAATATACTTATATGTATTGTATTGATATATGAATATTAATAAACCCAGCGGCTTTCATTTAAAATCGGTATCATTTAATCCAAACAAGAGAGCTTGCTAATATTGAATGGCCATTTGAATTTAGGACACCACCGATATTTGTTCCGCTGGTTCCCGGCGTCCTTTATATGAACGAAAAGAAGATAATAATATGGTCATGACATAGTACATGCGATCAAAATACCGAATGGATTACAGCTGTACGTGTCCAATTATGTATGTATGTATTATGTACTATGAGGTTATTACGAGGATACTGCAAAGTATGCACAAAGACAGTATAGCGGAAGTATCAACCGTATACTTTCTGAGGGCGTACTTTGTAATAACCTCGTAATAACCTAATTATTATACATCTTTCAGCGATATTTTCCTCCCACGAAATCAAAAACGTTTAGAACAGATTTAGCAAACTTCTTTAATCCATGTTTGTTTTTATTATTATCAGAGGACGCTTACGTGCCTAATCGTTCCATATTTGGAATTCCTGTTTCCTAATATGGTACTAAGATGAAAATACCCAGTACAACTTCAATACCGCAACATTAAAGTGCCTGTGCACTGCCCACCCTCACGTTTCCCATTTTAGATCTGTATCCCACTGAAATGGGCAGTTATTGATATTTTTGCTGAAAATGATTACTCGTATCCAAGAAAATTTCGGATATTTCTCGTGTTGTAGCCACGCCCACCTATCCTGAAACGGTCGACTGTTTCCGGATTTCCGACTCTCGCCGAAAGTGCGCCACCAAATGCCAAAATGTGAGAGGAAGTCATACCCCTGAGCCGTAATAACACTGGTCATTCAGTATACTTTTAAACGATATACATTTTTCAGTCGGTGTTTTTTTCT